GATGGCGGCAGGGCTGCCGCTGCTCTCGGTGCCGTGGGAGAAGTGAGGGGTGCGCTGTTTTCCTCCGCTCTCAGCTCTGGAGCTCGGCTGTCGGGCCCGGGGGCAATGGGAATGTGCGTGGGAATGGGTAGCGAGTGGGGGCCGCAGCAGGGCTGCAGGTTGGCAGAATGCCCTGGGGCAGAGGTGCCCCGTTTCTTCCTACGGCTGATAACCAGCCTGGGTCATGAACCATACGCGTTCCCAGAAGCGTTATGTGATGGTGAGAGTAGTTGGTAGCGTTAGATCCGGCCTATGTTTGTTTCCGGAAGCGTTCCCCATGTGCTCTGCAGAGCTCTTCCTCTTCCTGGGTTCTTTTTGTGGGTGCGTGCCCTCCTGGCGATTTCTGTCTTCGTTCTTTTCTAACAGTGCCTCTCTGTGGTTTTCTCCTCTTTTCAATGCGTCTGTCCAAAGATCTCCTCTCCGACTGACGTCCCCGAGACTCCAGCATGCAGCCGATACGATGGGGAAGCCCTGGTTCAGACCCCACGTGTAAACCCAAGTCTTCACTTTTTGGAAGTTATTTGGCTATCGCCCTTTTGTTGCTGCCTTCTGAATAACTGTATAATAAGCTTCGTTGTGGAGCCTGGAAGGATTCCTCATGGATATGCAAATTAAATAAGTGCATATATATGCGTACATAAACCTAGGTCTGCATAGTAGTGGTCCATTAAGCTGATCTTAAAGATTTTTGCCTTTCAGATTGCATGCTGTTGCTTTGAAGTGGGGAAGCCGCGTGCTCTGAAAGGGGAGCTGGCTCCTCCTCTCCGTGTGCTGCAGACATCGGCTGTGGCGAGCCCCACGTCTCTGGCAGCGAAGTTCAGCACCGTGTTTCACTTCTTCGTGACCTCAGCTCTTTCTGTCTGTCAAAACCACGTTTTTTCTTGAAAAGTTCAGGCTCGTTTAATACTGAAGTCGATTAGAAACTTTTAAAACCCTCCTCCCGGCACGTTATTTTTGGACTTGTTCCTGGTTTTCATTTTACAATGGTTTATTGCTCGGCGCTGAACTGTCAAAATGCCACCAGTGGGGTGTACAAGAACAGTACTGTTACTTTCTATGGTTTTCCTTTACAAAATCAACCTCTCTTGAAGCAGTGGATTCACAACATGGGCCGGGACATGGGAACACCATCCAAGCATCAGCGACTCTGTTCGAAGCATTTTGAGGACAGTTCTTTTGAAAACGACCCCTTAAAAATTAGAAAAAACAGACGTCTGCTGAAAGAAGCTGTTCCCAAAAAATTCATTTTGGGTGAAGACGGAAACTGGCTCGTTGGCACACCTCAAAGTTTCTGTGGTAGGATAAGTAATAAAACTCGAAAACGAATCCGGAATCCTGAGCACTCCAGGGTAATTAAGATGTTTTCCATTGTGTTTACTTCCCTTAGGTTAAAGGAGGATTTGCATGTAAAGCGCTTCAAGGAAGCCGTAGGTGAAACATGCTACGTGGCAGTAAAATGTTTTCATTTTTCTCTCTGGTATTGCAGAGTGTGGAGGTGGCACTGGGAGGGCGGTGACCGGGGAAATTAAAGGCATCTTGGTGCTCTCTGTGCTAGAATTCCAGTTTTGTGCCTAAATGTTAGGGGGAAAATCCGCTGTTTGTTGGAAATGCAGCCCCGCTGCATGCTGTCAAATGGAGTCGCTCCCTGCGGACCTGTATGTGTGCACGACAGTCCTCATGCTTGGAAAAATTTCCTTTAGAGTCACTGAGGTGATTTTTTGGTGGCACCGTGCCCACAGTGTGGGTATTTGGGGCTGAGACAAAGGCTTAACTTCCACTCAGCCTTCTCCCCTGCATACTTAATTTGGCGTATGATCCCATCTAGCGACAAATTAATGCAACTTAATTATTTCTCTTGGCAGCGGACTTGTACAACTGGGTTTCTGTGTGGGGCAAGCTGCAAAGCGCCTGAACCAGTGAGATGTGCGTTAGGTTAAAAGGGAAATCAAAGCACATTCAAAGGGAAGCACGTACAAACATGGTACTCTGTGGATATAAAGTACAGATACAAAGTATGTACACAGTATGTACATATACATTGCAAAAAATGCAGTATTAATCTCTCAGTATTTGTAGGGTGTAATTTTTTTGTTTGTGTTAACTTTTATTATTAGGGAAGAACTCTTGCAGCCAGGCCTGACAGCCTGTGGCACTGCCCTAGGCCTTAGTTAAAATACACTCTGCGATATTTTCTGGTTTTCAGTGAAAGGAAGAGCCAAATTCCTTGATTAGGCTGGGTGTCGATGGTGACCGCAGATTTCTTTTACCACTCTAATTTTTGAGCCAGTTGTTCTAGAAAGGCATTGTTTCAGTTGAGTCACGTTATTTTTTTAAGTAATTTTACTCATTCTGAGCTACATACAGAAATAACAGTAGAAGATTCCTATATAAAGTCCTTAATTAGTATGCCGGTTGTACGTAACGTGGGCGTTGCTAGAAACAGTTGGCTGTGACCGCTTGTTTACTACTCTTTGCAAAAGAGGGCTTTCAAGGATGTAGGACTCGCCAGTGGCATTGACTATTGAACGCTTTGTTTTAGGTCCCTGGGACATTTGATAACGCTGCAGCGCGTGAGGGGAAGGACTTGGAAGACTGGCAGAAAGGACTCTCCAAGAAAGTGATAAAGGGGCATTACGAATCCTTAACCGTGTCGGGCAAAGGTTAGTTTTCCCTTTCTCGCTGAAGGCTAACAGATCTGTGCTGTTTCTGGTCTGGCTCTTGTCTAACAGTCACTCCTCAAATCTCTTGATTTCTAGTGAATTAATCTTTAGATGCTTCTGAATCTTTGTGAGAGACGATAAGCTCCACAATCTTTTCTTTAAAGGCTGAAGGACGGTCGCTTTTCTAACACCTCCACGACTGCTGCCTCCCTGCGCTCGGATGTCAGATACTCAATCTGTGCGTGTAGGTGATACCTTGTCTGCATGATACGGGTAGAATAACGGAGAGCGAGAGGGTCTCCCCGGGTAGAGGGGTTTAGGATCTCCGACGGTGCCCCTGGTAATGCATGTGCTAGTTAAAACAAAGAACAAAGGAGAGCGGAAAAGGTTTAGATACACGAGCTCAGGAGCCGCAGTGACATACGGTATCCTGAATCCTGTGGACTTGTTAATTCTAGTTACGTTGTGAGTATTTTCATCGTCCCCAAATCCTGATCTGTGTTTGGTTTTGTGATTCACTAAAGAGTATTGAACTGTTTTGATGCAGAAATAGTTAAATAACGTGAATGATGCCCTAGAAAACGAGGAAGTCTGATCGGTTAGTTTTAAGTGCCCAACTGTACATTTGTTTGAAGTCATTGGGTTTTTTTTTTAAATTTGAAGACGTGAGCCCTCACTGGCTCCTCAGCTTTCGGGTAATTCCTTGGATTAATAGAAGAAGAACCTGCTGTAATTAGGGGCTAAAAGTGCTTTAAGGTGTCCTCTGGACCGGAGGAACAGAAGTGCTGTGAACCCCCGGAGCCTCAGTTGTTGCATAGTCTAGCTTACGCTTTGTGACGCTCTTCAGTTCTGAAGAAGCTTCAGTTGAGAAATGCTGATTTAGCCTAACCTCATTCTGTTGCTACTGCTGCGCTTCCAAATTTGAAATTTCATGAAATAATGAGACAATGTAATTCCACTGGTTTTTATTCTTGATATACCTTCTATTTTTTTTTTACAGTAGAGGAACTAGAGTCGGCAGGCAGCTGCCTGTATTTTTTGTACAGCTCTGATCTGTTAAAAAAGTATGTGCTGTGCATTGCACAAGGAGGGATTAGCTGGGGGAAAATAAGTTCTTGCATCAGAAAGGCGGTTAGGACTGAATCATAACACACAGCACCAGACAGCTGAATTACGCCTTTATGGCTGTAATCAATTTGAGACTTTCCACTTTGAACATGTAACTTTTCAACCTTTTGGATATAATTTCTGGAATATTTTAAAAATTGGAAAAAAAATGTTGCTCACCTCCTTGCCAGCCACCCTCTCTAGATGCCAGCGCAGATGCGTTTGCTGCTACCTCCTCGTTGGACCTTTCCCTGAAGTAAAAGGCAGTGGGTTATGCAGGTATTTGCTAGCAAACAGCATCACAGAGTCTTTTCTTATAGTTCTAGGAACAACTAGAAAATTATTGTTCTTTGAGAAGGCGAAAGGCAGTATTTTTCATGTAAATTAACAAAAATGGGTCATGTTACAAAAAAAGGGCATAAATAAACTACAGGGCTCAGAGAGGTAAAGCGAACAGGCTGACCAAAAGCTATCTTCGGCACTGGTCTTCGTGCAACGTATCCTTTGTCTACATCGATACAATTAAAGTAGTTAGGAAATGTCTTTGTAATAATGGAAAAAAAATCAGAGGAAAATAATAACCATCATTTCCGTGTTCTGGTCCTCGTGCAGACTATCCTGTTCCCAAAAGCCATATCCAGGCCAGAGATGCGCTGCATGTCAAGGATCAGCAGGATTTTGAGGAAAGGGAGATTCCCACAAGTCTTAGCGCAGGTGCGTGGTGGTCTGAGATGCGTCAAAAATTAAATTGGCAGCACGTTGAAACTGCACAGGCTCGTAGGATTAGAGGGAGGGGGGATTCTAGCGCATCCCTGCTTTTTTTTTACCCAAAGCTTGTTTTGTTTGTTCAGGTGTAGCCACAATGAATCAGGAATTTTTGTTGTTTGGCAATTCATGTTATGCCACATCAGATGAAGGGAATGTTTGGAATCTTTCTGTTCCAGGCTGCGGTGGTACTGTGATCGGATCCGAGTTGCAGAGTCACGCAAAGAGTTCAGAAACTACAGAACTGTGTGGATCATTTGCAGGAGGATCCCGAGACCTGACTTGCCACATTTTGGACAGGGGAGTAACGCCTGAGAATCACCAGAATTCAGCAACAGATCAGGCAAATCCAATGGGAAGCAGAAGAGGTAACAGCTCTCTTGAGGAAGGAGAATCTAATGAATTCAAAGAGATCCTTTTTTATCGGCAAACCCGTGCAGGAGAAAGACTGTATCTGTGTACAGAATGTCAGAAGACTTTTAAATTGAAAATTGGACTTCTCAAACATAAGCAAATTCACACCAATAAAAAGAACTGGGCATCGTCGTTCATATGCACAGACTGCGGTAAAAGCTTCGGTCGCTACGGAGACTTGATTCGCCACCAGAGAACTCACACAGGGGAGAGGCCTTACAAGTGTACGGAATGTGAAAAAAGTTTTATGGAAAAACCGAGACTCACTAATCACTTGCGAACTCATAACATATACATGTAAGCGGTGTGCCGAAAGCTTTCCTGGGAGAGATTTTTCCATTCAGTTGTTGAAAAAACCCCTCTGCGTCCAGAGATGATGGCTTATAGTCATATATTGATTATAGGGGAAGCTTTAGGATAAGACAGTTTTACTAAACTGGATCAAGTACAAGCATGAAAGGCATCTGCTTGGTGCCAGCCTAATAGTCATTGATTAGGAGCTGATTTTAATTAGCAGCTAGATGATTCATATCTGGGAGGAGGAGTTGTATAGAGCAGCGTTGACTGTACCAAATGCATTTTTAAAAAACGCTTCTGGCGCAGCAGCAGCGCGTGCTAGAGAATGTCTGTATTAATGCAGAAAAATGCTGGGAGTTTTTCAGGTAGGAGAAGAGTGAGAAAATGTCACGATCAGAACAGGATCGTCGGCAGACCTATAAGCAGGAAATGGAGCTTCTAAGAGTGTAGGTTAAGAATGGTTGGGTTTGATGTAAAAACAGCAACCAAAAAAAAAAGAAGTTCGTTCGGCAGTTACAGTCATAGGACAGCAGTGGTGGCAGTGAAAGCACTGTCACATGGAAATAACGACCAAGAGTGAGAAAATGTCACGATCAGAACAGGATCGTCGGCAGACCTATAAGCAGGAAATGGAGCTTCTAAGAGTGTAGGTTAAGAATGGTTGGGTTTGATGTAAAAACAGCAACCAAAAAAAAAAGAAGTTCGTTCGGCAGTTACAGTCATAGGACAGCAGCGGTGGCAGTGAAAGCACTGTCACATGGAAATAACGACCAGAACCAGTTGCTTCAAACATCTGTTTACTGGGGGGCGAGATGCCAGTTTAATTTCTGAGATTCTGGAAAAGAGCATGGCTATATTCTTAACGTATGCGCAACGTATAGATAGCATTACTCTGTGAACTAAAAAGCGGCGGCTTCGGCTACAGGGACAAGATCAGCAGGCAGGAGGGGCGTCCTGCAGAGCCAGTGTTTGTAGATCACGCGTCTTCTCTCCACAGGCCAGCAATATTCAGTGGTTTTGCTTATTCCAGTTGAGTGCAAAGAGTGAAAAAGTCGCGTTGCCTCCAGTTCAAGCACCTGCTTTGCAGCGAGCCCGTGAGCGAGGTCGATGAGGAGCGCAGAGCAAGAAACGGCTGGTGCTGCGGTGGAGTTCAGTAACTTCTGAACTGATCCAGCCCCAGTGGGTTCCCACCCATCCCAAATATGGGAGTAATGTCCAGAAAACTTTTTTATCTCTGGCTTCTCATTATTTCCTTCTCATAATTGCCCTGGGGACAGCTTTTCTTTTATTCTTCTCCCACGCAGCTTTAACGCCTTAGTTGTCACAGGTACACTGTGTGCTCCTGAATGAGGATTCTTTGGAGCGAGGCGATTCCTTGTGGAGCAAATCCTGTAAAACATCATCCTACCAAAACTGCGGTTCCCTCTGTGAAACAGCTGAAGAACAACCTGGAATAGCGAGGCTGAATCTGTCGTGTGGTCGCACGCCTGCAGCGGTTCGTTCAGGAGCTGCTGGAGGTAAAGCCTGGATGAAAGCCTTGTGTGGGAAGCTCTGCCTCCTTCCCCCACTTGCAAGCACAAAGCTAAGGAGCATCCAACCAGGCAGAGATGGTCGCTTCAATCTGAGGCTTTGTTTGCACTGAAATACAAATAATCATCTTGTTTAGAGGTTTAAGTGGAGATGGAGATTAAATGGAGTTAGAGACGGAAAGCCACGCAGCTAGCGCGGCTATCCGAAATGACGACAGTGTAGTGTTTCCCTTGCTCAAAATGCTAAGCGAATCTTAAACAACAAAATTAAGCAAAAATGTTGAAGAGGTTCAGTAAGAAAACTAGGTGTCTCCCACGTGAGAAGCGTTGAAAGATGGGGTTAGCAGTGGGCGCAGCGAGGGTGAACAGCTAGAGGAGTCATGATTGCTGTAAAGCGTATTCCGTGGTCCTCTTCGAACAGTGAAAGTTCAGATGTGCAGGGGAAATCCAGTCAGAACGTATTGAAATTACTTGCGTCCTGAGAACTGAGCGACGGAGGAATCAGGAAGAGACTCGGTATCTATGATTTGGTGAAAACTTTTGTGTCAGTTCTCTTTGGGCTGTCAGCAGAAGGGCCCTGGTGTGGCAGGTGGATTTCTCCCAACATCCCGACCCTCTCGCCTGGAACCCGGAGTGCACGCGGAATGAAAACAGCTTCTTACAGCGTCCCGCCGCACCGGCTCTGCTTAGGAGTGCAGAGATGTTAATGCAGAGATCCAGCTTAAAAAAAAGATAAGTTTTGTTGGTTTCGTTAGTCATATGGACCCTCCTTCCCCTTCCACTGCTGTTGGCAGGAATTTTGCCTTGATTGAGCCTTGACTTAGCCCAGAATGATTAAGCAAATAGTTTATGTGCGAGAGTAATCGTTCCCTCCGCGTGTTGCTGTTATACTGTTACAAACTTCAAAAATAGTTCTTTCTGAAGCTGTATTTAAACAGTGTGTTTCCAGTCTCCATGGAAAAAAAATAACACTGAAACGTAAAACATGAAAGATTTATGCCCAGTGCTAAGGGACGTGGAGCATTAATGCATCAGAGGTTACTCGGGGCATTTCTGTTCCTTCTACACCCAAGGAGCAATTCCCCGTAGAGCAAAGCAGCCCGGTGTCAAGAAGAGCGGAGTGGTACGATGCCTGCCTGCGGCTCCGCTTTTACAGTGCATCTCTTCAGGTATCTTGTGTTACGATGCAGGGTCGTCCCCCTTGTCACCACACGTAAATAGCCTGCGCGATGAATGTGCTGCTTAAATTAAAAAAAAAAAAACAAAACCACAAACAAAAAAATGCAAACAAACCCCCGAACAACTCCCAAAACCAACAAAAAAACCCAGTAGCATAAGGTAAGCATCAGAAAGCGCAGTGAGATAAACAATTATCCCAGTCCAAAGCTTAAGCTAAGGGAGAACAGAACAAATTTGGCTGAAGTGGGGTATCAGGAATAGCGTGGCCAGCAGGAGCAGGGCAGGGATCGTCCCCCTGTGCTCGGCACTGGGGAGGCCGCACCTGGAATGCTGTGTCCAGTTTTGGGCCCCTCGGCACAAGGAGGACATTGGGGTGCTGGAGCGTGTCCAGAGAAGGGCAGCGGAGCTGGGGCAGGGTCTGGAGCACAGGGCTGGTGGGGAGCGGCTGAGGGAGCTGGGGGTGTTCAGCCTGGAGAAGAGGAGGCTGAGGGGAGACCTGATCGCTCTGCAGCTCCTGGCAGGAGGGGGCAGGGAGGGGGGTCGGGCTCTTCTCCCAAGGAACAGCGATGGGACGAGAGGAGATGGGCTCAAGCTGCACCAGGGGAGGTTTAGATTGGATATTGGGAGAAATTTCTTCACGGAAAGGGTGGCCAAGCACTGGACCAGGCTGCCCAGAGAGGTGGGGGAGTCCCCAGCCCTGGAGGGGTTCAAAAAACGGGCAGAGGTGGCACTTGGGGACATGGTTCAGTCTGGTCTGCCCTTGATTGGCTTAGTGTGGACTTGGTAGTGTAGGGTAATGGTTGGGCTGGATGATCTTAAAGGGCTTTTCCAACCTAAACGATTCTATGATTCTCTGAAAAATTGGGTGATCCTTTAGCGCAGCGTCTGCTGGAGTACTTGGGAAGTTGAGGTGGGAAAAGAGTAGAAGGGGTGTAGAAACTCGCCATTCCTTGCCCGAGTCTTTTCATGGGAACACGCACAGGAGTCGGGAATCGGGAGATTCTCTTGATTCCTCCCTGGGAAACTTTGCTTTAATTCTCTTGTAGCAGGGAGACTAAGAGTTTTTTCATAGACTATGTTATTAAATAAGAAACTTAAGCTGATAATCTGTGTGCCTGCCTTGAGAAATAGTGTTCGTGCATTGGGAAATACAAGCAACTGCATAAACTCTTGGGTTTGTGCAGTCAGAGGAAAAAGAAAATATCTTTAGCAAGATAGGTTTTCTTTAAAGAGAATTTCCAATGCATTTATTTATTTTTGAAAACTTTAGGTCGTGTTAATCTGCAAATGTAAAGCTTGCCCTGCTCTGTACCACCTTGTCAAGAGGAGCGGTGACAGAAACGCACCTGAGAATAAACCAGGTTTAGTTTTAAGCTCCCCTACGTCGTCTAAACAGTAGAAACAAGGTCGGGATGTAGCATGTGAGGCGCTTCTGCCCTTTCTGGTTTAATTATGCTTTACGGATTGCCGTCTGAAGTGTCCTCTCCCTTTCTGTTCTGTTTAGTTTGCAAATTAAGAGAGGTCTGGCATTTCGTGATTAATGTTGGTAAAAGTTCGTTTCTTTTTACAGTTTCTCTGTACTTGTCTGTCTCTCTCCGCTTACCCCTTCAGATGAAGGGTCTCGTCTTGCGTGTTCGATGGGCGCCTCGTGGGCTGCAGGTGCTGCCGTGATGCAAATAAACACAAAACTACAGGAGCTGAGCTTTTGTACGAGAACTTTCTGGGAAGAGATTGTCTTCCCTTCTCAACGTGGCTTTTTAGTAAAAGCAATCAAAAAAAAAAAAAAAGAACCCTTTTCCCAGAAAGCTCCACCTGCTTTTGTGTGGGTTTGGCCTTATCTTGTTTGTTGTGCATAATTTCTATTTTATCCCATCCTGAGTGGATCCGGGCTGTGCCCACGCATTGTGTACACCAGGCATTTCCCGCTGCCCCAGGTGGGAAGCAGAGCTGGAAACTGTTTTGCGGAGGGCGGCTGGGAGACATCAAGTGAAACCGGTAAGCGGCGGGTTCGAAGCGAAGGGAAGGCGATGGTTCTTCACGCAGCGGTTAGTTACGCTGGTGGCTTCCGTGCAGCAAGATGCTGCAGGTGCAGGGACTTTACGCTGTTTCAGAATCAGCTGGATAAATTCCTAGAACAAAAAAAAACTTAAAAAAAAAATTGATAGAAACTCTTAAATGGAGAGATGCCATTTCTGGCTCAGGATGTCCCTGAGCTGCAAGGTGGTGGAGAGGCTTCAACGTTAG